TTTTTTGTGAGATTTTCAGATTTGGCGACTTTCGGAATTCAAGGTGTTAAGATCTTAAGATGTCAAGACTTCAAAAGTTGAAGATTAAGAGTTTAAGGAATTTAGAAGAAAATAACCCGTATTGAAGGAATTTTATTATATTTTACTTGTTTATGAATTTAAGATTTTCAGACTGCAATAGTTTGAGATTGAAAGAATTTACGTTTTTGAAGCTTTTAAGATTCTGAGATTTTCAGACTTTGAGAATTTAGGAATTTCATATTTTAAGATTTTAACATCTGAAGGTTCAAAGACATGAAGGTTTCGGTTTCTGTCACTTCCCTTTCCTGTAAGTCCGATGAGTAGATGTTAAGATTATAAAATTCTAAAAACTTTGAGATTCTAAGGGTCTCAGATTTGAAGACTTTCGGAATTTAAGGTTTCAATGGTTTAAGAATTAATGTTCTAAGATTTCATATTTTAAGAGTTTAAGATCTCAAGATTCTAAGACATAAGGTTTTTTTTTAAGATTTCAAGATTCGAAGACTTTAGGAAGTTTTTATATTTTTAGATTTTAAGATTCTAAGTTCTAAGATTTTAAGATCTTGAGATTCTAAGATTGATGGTTAGATTTTAATTTAAGATTTTAAGAATCTAAGACTTTAGGATTTTGAGATTTCAATCCAGGCCATTTTCCATCCATTTCCATCCACTTTAGATTTTAAGATTTTCAGGTTGCACGTTTTCAGCAAAATTGGCCCGACTTAGGGGACAACATCCCCAGCATCACCCGCATCGCCAGCATGCATAACATCATCCGCATCATCCGGGATGATGCTGGCAATGCTGGGGGTGTTGTCCAGTATTAGGCACCCCCTAAAAATGCTCGTTTTTAGGCGCTGCGGGGAGATGCTACAAAAAATCGCCTAAACCAATCCGCGAATCCTTCGCCCCTTATAAGGAAGGCCCAGCCCAAAACGTACCCGCAACGTACCCGCATGGTCGGCGGCATGGGGCGCGCGGCCTTATACCTGAAGGTAAGCCCTAACGGGCTTTGGCCTGCGGCCCGATCACGTCCGGTGGCCGGATTTAAGGGCTGCCGCCCAGTGCCGCCGACCCCAAACCAGTGTGGGAATGGCTGAAATGAACGGGGCCGCTTCAAAATGGGACCGCGATGGGTCCCCTATTGTAGCCAGGGTGCGGTGCATTTTTGCTTTGCTTTCGCATGAAAATGCACCGCTTTTATGATGATGATGATGATGATGATGATGATGATGATGAACTGACATGATAATCATCATGACGCATCCTCAGCATCACCAGCAGTCATCATGATAATAATGTCCACGCATCTTCTGCATCTCAAATCGGCTCTAATGGGACTGATGATGATGATCATCATTAGCACCGTGATGATGATGATGATGATGATAATGATGATGATGAACTGGCATGATAATCATCATGACGCATCCTCAGCATCACCAGCAGTCATCGTGATAATGCGCTTTGATTGGCACGCTTCCATAGAACCTGCGCCCATTCTGGAGCGATCGTTTTCTTTCCTTGGCTTGGTGCATTTTTGTAGATTATGATGTGATAGACTGACAAGCGTGTCATCATCATCATCGTCGTCATCATCGTCGTCATCATCGTCGTCATCATCGTCATCATCATCGTCATCCTGGTTGATAACCATCATCGTGCATCCTCTGCATCACCAGCACTCATGACGGTAATCACATCTACGCTCACCTTGAACGATATACTGACAAGCGTGTCATCATCATCATCGTCGTCATCATCGTCATCATCATCGTCATCATCATCGTCATCCTGGTTGATAACCATCATCGTGCATCCTCTGCATCACCAGCAGTCATGACGATAATCCATCTACGCATCCTCTGCATCTTCAATCAGGTCGCAACAACGAGGATGTGATGATGAGCATGTCATCATCAGCCATGGTGATTACTCGTATCTCGTCTTCATCGTCATCATCGTCATCATCATCGTCATCCTGGTTGATAACCATCATCGTGCATCCTCTGCATCACCAGCAGTCATGACGATAACCACATCTACGCATCCTCTGCATCTTCAATCAGAGGGTGCGTAGTCATGATTATCATCACGACTGATGGTGATGCAGAGGATGCACGATGATGGTTATCAACCAGGATGACGATGATGATGACGATGATGATGATGATGACGATGACGATGATGATGACGATAATCACCACCATTGCATCTCCAATCGGCTCTAACGTCACCCTTGAAACGTATATAAGAAGATATAAGCACGACAAGGATTATGATGTGATATACTGACAAGCGTGTCATCATCATCATCGTCGTCATCATCGTCGTCATCAGCGTCATCATCATCGTCATCCTGGTTGATAACCATCATCGTGCATCCTCTGCATCACCAGCAGTCATGACGGTAATCACATCTACGCATCCTCTGCATCTTCAATCAGGTCGCAACAATGAGCATGTTATCATCACCATGGTGGTGATTATCGTCATCATCATCGTCATCATCATCATCGTCATCATCGTCATCATCACTGTTGTCATCATGGATGATAACCATCATCGTGCATCCTCTGCATCACCAGCAGTCATGATGATAATCATGTCTACGCTTCCTCTGCATCTCCAATCAGGTCACAACGCTGACGTCATCATCGTCATCATCAATATCGTCATCGTCATCGTCATCATCACCGTTGCAATCATGGACGTTAACCATCATCGTGCATCCTGTGCATCATCTCCAATCGGCTGTAACGTCATGTGATATACTGACAAGCGTGTCATCATCATCAGTGTCGTCATCATCGTCGTCATCATCGTCATCATCATCGTCATCCTGGTTGATAACCATCATCGTGCATCCTCTGCATCACCAGCAGTCATGACGATAATCACATCTACGCATCCTCTGCATCTTCAGGTCGCAACAATGATGATGTGATGATGAGCATGTCATCATCACCCATGGTGGTGATTATCGTCACCATCCTCGTCATCGTCATCATCATCATCGTCATCGTCATCATCATCGTCATCATCATGGATGATAACAATCATCGTGCATCCTCTGCATCACCAACAGTCGTGATGATAATCACGATTGCGCACCCTCTGCATCTCCAATCGGCTCTAACGTCACCCTTGAAACGTACATAAGAAGATATAAGCGCGACAAGGATTATGATGTGAGATACTGACAAGCGTGTCATCATCATCATCGTCGTCATCATCGTCGTCATCATCGTCATCATCATCGTCATCCTGGTTGATAACCATCATCTTCATCCTCTGCATCACCAACAGTCGTGACGGTAATCACATCTGCGCACCCTCTGCATCTTCAATCAGGTCGCAACAATGATGATGTGATGACGAGCATGTCATCATCACCCATGGTGGTGATTATCGTCACCATCATCGTCATCGTCATCATCATCATCATCATCGTCATCATCATCGTCATCATCATGGATGATAACCATCATCGTGCATCCTCTGCATCACCAACAGTCGTGATGATAATCACGACTGCGCACCCTCTGCATCTCCAATCGGCTCTACCATGACCCTTGAAACGTATATAAGAAGATATAAGCACGACAAGGATTATGATGTGATATACTGACAAGCGTGTCATCATCATCATCGTCATCATCATCGTCGTCATCATCGTCATCATCATCGTCATCCTGGTTGATAACCATCATCGTGCATCCTTTGCATCACCAACAGTCGTGATGATAATCATGACTGCGCACCCTCTGCGTCTCCAATCGGCTCTAACGTCATCATCATCATCGTCGTCATCATCGTCGTCATCATCGTCATCTATCATCATCATCGTCATCATCATCGTCGTGATTATCATCACGACTGTTGGTGATGCAGAGGATGCACGATGATGGTTATCATCCATGATGATGACGATGATGACGATGATGATGATGATGACATGCTCATCATCACATCATCATTGTTGCGACCTGATTGAAGATGCAGAGGGTGCGTAGATGTGATTATCGTCATGACTGCTGGTGATGCAGAGGATGCACGATCATGGGTATCAACCAGGATGACGATGATGATGACGAACGATGATGACGACGATGATGACGACGATGATGATGATGACACGCTTGTGAGTTTCTCACATCATAATCCTTGTCGTGCTTATATCTTCTTATGTACGTTTCAAGGGTGGCG